GGGTTGAAATTGAAATTCTACATTTTTTTGGTATTTCTCTTTATTTCTCTTTTTAAACGAATCAATGTCATTGAATTATATGACTTATTTTTTCCATTCTGTTAAACTTTATCACCTGTTTTGCTTACTGAATTAACATTTTTTCAGATTAAATATCCATTATGATGGACATATATAGTCCATTTTTCTTGAGTCTGTGAAGAAGTTGAGCTAAATCCTGTTCAGATTCTTAAGCTCAAACATAATAATGGGATAAGAGAGAGTTCACACCCCTGATCTTTAGCAAAGGTTATGAGGAGCATTCAAAAATGTGGAATTGGCTCTTGTACATGTCAAGAAAACAAATCATGTTGAAATGTATTAATATATTAATTTAACCCTTTTTACAATATACTTAAAGTATTAGCCTTAAAAGAACATAATTATCCCAAGCATTAAATCAGCCAAGTCAATCAATTCAAATAGAATGAATTTTGTTTTTCCAAGTCTCTTGGGATTCCACCTGGGATCTCAAAACGTCGTGCATCAGTTTGCAATGGTTTCCAGGTTAAATGACATGTTTCAGAACAGTGTGAAACAGAGCACAACGGGCTTTAAGGTATATTTTGTCTCATTTCATGGGTGTGTCAGAGGTATTACCCGATCAGCAGTGAAGTGTATATAAACCCTGTCATATTGAAAAGGAAGTGCACACAATGGATTCTAATAAAGTCCTCTACAAATGCAGCCACTGCACCTTGGTTCCTGGCTCCATATGTTTGCATACTGGCCATGTCTTTCCTCTTGCTATACTTATGCTTTTTGTGTCTTTCCTTCTAGGCTATATCCTCTTGGATGTACAATTCACTTTTTTATTTTAGTTAGTCTCCAAGTGTTGTCATTGTTGGCTGTATGAGCACATTGTCATGTTCTGTACTGGTGAGTATGGTACTCTCTGAGCACAAAAATGACCATCTTTAAACTGACTGTAGATAGGTTGGGCTAACAAAAGTTAAATCAACGGATCAAAGTCAAGTTCAACGAACTTTTACAAACTGAATGGGAAATATGATAGAAAAATACGTTTAGCCAATTTATGTTTAATCATCAAAATTGCTTTATTTTGAAAGAAAGCAATTTACTTATATAGAAGTCCTTTCCATAATTTTGTTAGGTTCAGGTAAAGAATGATTTTCGAGTGAGGCAAGGATGGGCCAGCTTACGAAAGTCTACTTTTGTTCATTTTAAAGTAAATCAGATTTTTCAAACTTTTCAAAAATGTTTGTGCCTGTTGATAAATGTTAGTACAAAGAGTCAGAATTAACATTTGACATTTGTTGAAGTTTCTTAAGTGTCTTTGTCACTGTTCCATTGATATAAGAACCAGGTTGAAATTAGTTTTCCATAAAAATGTAATACTTTAATCTCATGAAACCAAATTGTTAAGGATATTTACTTCACTTTCAAGCATATGAGATGTCATTCCAGAGGTAATTACACTGTAAAATGGCTCATCAGATCAATCTAAAAAACTATTTCATGTAGTAATAAGTAAATTAACTAGTTTTATTCAACCTAAATAAATACTTTGAATGGACAATTCTTTCAATCAATGTAGTTTTTTTAAGTTGAATAAAACTAGTTCAATTGCTTGTTACCACATGAAGTATTTTTTTAAGTAAATCTGATGAGCCACTTTACAGTGTAGCTACCACACACTGTAAAAAATGGCTTGTCGGTTTAACCTAAAAAATTATTTTATGTGGTAACAAGTAAATAAACTAGTTTAACTCAACCTAAATAAATACTTTGAATGAATTATTCTTTCAATCAAAGTATTCTGAGTTGAATAAAACTAATTCAATTACTTGTTATAAAGTATTTTTTTTTGTTTGATCTAAAGAGCCATTTTTACAGTGTGTATAGATGTATAGGGTGTACACGTTTTAAACAGTGTAGGGTTTTAATAGCATAAACTGTGATTGCAATTCTCAGACTCACACAAACACCAAAATACAGTGAGAGAATATCTTTAAGTGCTTAGAGTTACACTGTAAATGTGGCTCATCAGATCTGCTTAAAAAATTACTTCATGTGGTAACAAGCAATTGAACTAGTTTTATTCAACTCAAAAATCACTTTAATTGAAAGAATCGTTAACTCAAAGTATTTTTTTAGGTTGAATAAAACTAGTTAATTTACTTGTTACCACATAAAGTAATTTTTTTAGGTAGATCTGATGAGCCACTTTTTACAGTGTAAAACAAAGTATGATACAGAAAAACCTAGATATGACCGAAAAGCAAATGGGGTAATGCTAAAAGTAATGCTAAAAAGCAATAATGAAATTTTTTCCATGCTTGGCTCACAAGCACAGCAAACCACTTCACAACTTTCAACAACTAGATAAACTGTGGTGTGTGAATGGCGATATCTGAATATAATAAGTGTGAACATGTATTGGCACATATATTTATAGAGACAAGGATGTTGACAAGACTATGTCAGTCTAGCAATTTGCATTAAGTTATTGTCAGTATACAGTCACATAAAAAAGTTTGAATATGCATGGTCAATTTACATGTTTTGTGAATTTTCTAAGTGAAAATAAATTAACACATACTCTACAGGGAGCAAACTGAAATAAATAAATAAAATTTGTTTTATTTAAATAAATTTCAACATATTGAAAAAAAAACATAAAATACAAAGTGTGATTTTGCACAGGCCACATTTTATGTTTTATATTTCATGTTAGGTTAATTTCAGCAAATAAACAGTAATTGTGCATTAAAATGTGCAGAAGTGTGTTCCCTGTAGAGAATGTGTAGTTATTTTCTCTCAGAAAATCAACAAAACATGTAATTTGAGCAATGACATCCAAACTTTTGCACACAACTGTATAAAAGTTCCAGTGCAGATCTTCTGACCACTGGCTGACATTGTGGATTTGAGGCATTTGATGGTTTAGTGCTTGTTTGTAGTGAGGAAGTAGGTAAAGAACATTATAGTTCATGAAACAACTGTCCAGTAAACATGGTAAATGTTCCTTTAACATAAATCCAGAATATTTTGTCATCCTTCCCTAAATGATAGCAGAATGCTGTCTAATCTATACTGTTAAAATGATTTTTCAGTCGTGAAAAAGTTCCCACTTACACTAACAGTTTGTTGTGCTTTGGTGGGCAGAGAATGTTTAAAGGAATGGTTCACTGAAAAATCAAATTTACACAGCAGTCCTCTTACTCTAAATGTAGTTGTTTGGCCAAGATATATTTGGTGTCTAAAGTTCACCAAAAACATTTTAAATGACTTCCTTTACATTACCCTTGTAGCTCTAGTGCAAAAATAAGAAGCAAACTTCAAGACCAAACATGTCTTGGCCAATCAACCACACTTGGAGTGTGAGGATAGTTGTGTAAAAAAGATTTTTCGGTCAAACTTCGCTTTAAAAAAATTAAATTCAATAGCAAATAGCATTGGTCTTTGGATCCAAACGTTGCTAAGATTATGTAAAACATTCAAGCAGGTGTGTCCAAACTTTTGACTGGTACAATATGGAAGTTAATGAGCCCCATAAAGTCATTACACAATAGATATAAGGTAGATAAAAATCTAGGGCAACATCATAACACTAACATAGCCACATAATGCAAAATGCGTTAGGAATATTTTACTTTCATATTTGTACATTTCATATTCATACTACAATCTATCCAGAAATTGACAGGTTAATGTGGTTGAGTAATGAGTAGTAGAAGCACTAGCATATATGCCTGTTTCACTTATTTTATTTATTTATTATAGTAAGTCTGGCAAGCAATTTTGGTAGTGTCTTTAAACAAAAATACTCTACAAACTGTTGTGGAATGACCATGCTTTTTGAAACCTTTTAATATCTTTTCATATGTCAAAAGAATTAATGGCTGCAGGTTTTGGAAAGGAAAGCCACAACATATCACAGTCACAGATTTATGTTAGCGTGGCCACATATGATCTGAAAACAACATTGTTTTTCAGTGTCTACATATGTAAAATTATTTTGTTTTAATTTCTGTCTTCTCATTTTTCATGACAATTACAAACTGAGCAAAAGCAAAAATATATATCTGGAAGTAAATTTCACATATATCAATGGCATTGATATAAATAGCAACACAGAAATATAAACAACTCTTTGTCTTTCCTCTGAAATCTATGTGGATATTTTTTGTAACAAGTTGTTAGTCCTTCCTTTCTGTGCCTTTTTGCCAGTGTGTTCGTGTGTGTTCTGTAATATATAACTGTCGCACTTTTATTTTGTACTCCTATGTAATTTCTAAGAACAAAAACACTAGTCGTCTGCAAAGAGTTTGCTAATCTTACTTCAGAGAAATATCAGGAAACCACAGTGACAGTTAAAAAAACACCCCAAAGTGCATGTAATGTTGTTTAAATATGCAGCACAACTGCCATGAGTGATAGACAGTGTTGCTAGAATCATTTGTATGGTTGTTGTCCAGTGTACTGTCATGTCATAAATGATACATTTTGTTTATCAGAATTTTTTATGTTGTGATCTAGTGTAGAAGTGTCGAATCCTTGCTGTTGATGGTGCTGAACATGCTAGATATATGGTAGGCATAAATAGATGGCATTCATAAATCTCTGCACCTACTCAGGAATATCACAAGCATTGCCTAGCTGAAATACTGATGTAAGTATTTTGCAAATGATGTAGTCTTTGGTATGTCTTATTATGGCACACTGTTTTTTTTTACCTAAAGTAGTGCCAGAGAAAACTTATACAGCAATTTTAGTGATTCAAATCTTTTTGCAGCAAGCTAGATCATTTCCTTGTTGAAGAAAGTGTTAAGAGAGATACTTTAGACAGACAGCAAATGCTTCAGGTCAACAGAAAGGAGAATCTGCTGCTGCAGTTTGTGGTTTGCAAGCATGTGACTGAATAGGTTTTCTTTCCTTTGCCAGTCAGATGTGCACAGATGGCAAGCAGCTCTTAAGCAGCACACTTTCATGCCACAATGGACAACACAACAGAGCAGACTGCAAACTATGAATATGATTATGACTTCGCTGTTACAGATGCTCCAGGATCTGCCAGCTCCCAGGTGCTCTACATGTCCCACATCTATGTTCCTATGCTGTACTTCATAATGTTCTTTGCTGGATTCTCCGGGAACCTGTTTGTGCTCATTGTCATTGGTAACAGACACAAGAGGAGCAGGCGTCTGGTAGACACCTTCGTGCTGAACCTGGCTTTAGCAGATCTGGTGTTTGTCTTCACTTTGCCCTTGTGGGCTGTCTCGGCCGGGCAGTTTGACCACTGGCCCTTCGGGAATGTCATGTGCAAAATCAGCAGCTACATCATTGCCGTCAACCGCTTCTCCAACATCTTCTTCCTCACGTGCATGAGTGTGGACCGCTACCTGGCCGTGGTGCGCCTCATGGACTCCCACTTTCTCCGGAGCAGCAAATGTGTACACCTCACCTGTGGCATGGTGTGGGGGATATCTCTGGTCTTGGGCACTCCATCACTGGTCTACCGAAACTTGTATAAACCTGATGGTGAGGGCTTCTGCATAGACAATTTGGAGTCTTTCTTCTTCAGAGCTACGATTTTGCTGACAGTCTTCCTCACCTTCATGCTGCCTGTGCTGATTATCGTCCTGTGTTATGGATCCATCCTGGTCAAATTGCGCAGCCACTCCATCACTGCTGGCAACCCTCGCGCAGAAGCCCGACGACGTCATTCTCTAAAAATTGTCTTCACCATCATCACAACCTTTCTGGTGTCCTGGTTGCCCTACAATGTGTTCAAAACCATCCAGGTGATTTCCAAGATGAGTGACGCCGAGCTAGACCACGACACCCACATATATTTGGCTCGGGGGCTCATCATTTCCTCCTGCCTGGCCTTCGTCAACAGCTGTGTGAATCCTGCAATTTACCTGTTTCTGGACAAGCATTTCAGACGGAGTGCGGCTGCAATGTGCCTGAATTGTCTGGGCCATGGAGATACGCAGCAGAGCTATTTCTCCTCCAACTCCATCTCAAACGGCACCTCAGAGAGCCTGGGAAGCACAACAAGCCGTGTCCGCCTCTTCTCCCTCTCCCAGAAAAACTGAATTCTAACTTTCAGCCAGCATTATTGCTTCAAATGCCTTTTATTAAAGACACTGTCAAGGTATTTTTTATAGTATGCATTAAACGTAATCATAAATATATACATTTTAGATACTTTTAGATACTTTAGATAGTCTCAGGCCAGGACTGGAAAATCCAACTTTCATGAACATTGCTTGCTGACTACACACAACATTTAGAGTGTTTTAATGTGGGTTTCTAACCTTTGTTGTTAAAGCTCTATTTCCAAAACCCTTTATGTATATTAAAACATGGTCCTGGGACTTTAATAAGTGTAGGGAAGAGCTATATTATGTTTTTTTTATTTTATTTTATTTAAATTAGCATTATCGTTTCTATATGAGATGTATTAAAAATTAACTTTCTTATATAGTCAAAACTCTTTTAGATTAGTAGCAAGTTTGAACTATGCTCTTAAAGTCTGATCATGCACATAATTCACAATTGATAATATGAATAACATTCATTTAAAATAATTCATTCTTCTGCATATTAATACTTTTTATTAGAGTAACACCACATCAATATTTCAGCAGTCTTTTTTGTCTTTTCATCATTTATGTTAAACAGTGATATGTTCATTTGAGCCCTGTGAACAGTATGTGTCCGATTAATCTAATAAAATCCTATTTTAAAACATCACAAATTAAAAAAGTTCTAATAACATGTTCTTTTAAATTCACACAAAGCAACACATTTTTAAAAATAAAATAATTTAAGCATAAACTGTTTGGCAACTGTTGACATGAAGTGCTTTCCTACCTTGTTCGGGTTACTATAGCTTGTATTTTTTCAGCTTGCCCTGGCTTTAATGAATATGTCCCGTTCTCAAGACGGGCTGGCCTTGACAATTCATTCTGGACATTCGCACAAGAATGATCAAACGAAACATTACAGCCAACAGCAGTAACTGTTCATGAAATAAATTTTCTCATGAGAACTTGAGTGGGCAGATGCGAGACACGAGAGTTCAATGGTTCAAGCTTGGCCACATGGCTTTGCCGTTCCCCTTAGAAATGACTCACATAGCGGGTTTTGAGAGACAATGGTTACCGTATGTGCCAGTGTGAACTTTCAGCCTAAGTCTCAGGCCTGGCTGGCCAAAAATTACATTACCTGAATTGCTTGTCCTCAAGCCAGTCGGCCCAACTGAGGTATGCATTAACCTTGAGGTGTTCCATATGCTGTACATATGAAATTATTTTGTCTCTTATTTTTTCTTGCTGAGCGTTAAATTAATCATTTTAAAATAAAATAACAGAAAAACTAAAAAAAAATTATAAAATAAAGGAAACAAATTCTTTCTGTTCTAAAATGAATGTGCCGTTTTAGTGACAATATGGATAACTTATGTTTGCTAATTCACTGGCAAAAACAGGTTATGCAGTGACAGAAATATGTGCTGAAATAATCTTAGAGCAAATAACCATTGAAAAAAATTAAACTTATAAACAAAACTTATAATGTACATAACAAAAGACGTAAAAGATGTGCTACATTACAGATCTATGAAAAGATGAAATGATGTAACAGATTATAGATTACTTTTGATAACTATCATTTAGCTGTCTGAGTCAAATTAATCGCGAGGGCTGATTATGAGAGTTCAATGGTTCATGTTGTTGGCATTGAAGTTTTGAAATGAATTGAGGTGATCTCTCTGAGTTAGCGGGGGAAAAACATTTCGGTTGGCATTTCCATTTTGAGTTCATTAAACGGGTCACTACAACGTAGGGTACATTTTGACTTTTTAAAATATTACTATTTGTTATATTGATTAACAATGCCCTACCTAACTAGTCTACCTAAACTATTAGATATGGCACTTTTTAGAGGCAAATAAACATACAGCACTGCATCTGATTTATTCATTTCTAATCTAATCCAATACAATGAAGCAAGTGATGAAAAGGATAAGAGCTGAGGGTTTACAAAGCAAAAAGAATCACATCACTCAGCTATACTTCAGTAAGTGTGTGGGCAACAGTTCTCGGAAGAATGCTTCAAACGAGACACGAGTACCATCTGGCCACATGGGACACTTAAGTTAAGGTGTTTTTGAAACAAATCTTAAGAGAATGAACAAAGTCATGAACTGCTCACTGATTGTATGTTTACAGACATTTTACCCCACATTTGGTTGAACTGTTTTAAGAAAAACCTTTAGAGCTTTTACATTGTGTGTTGAGGTTCTTCAAACTTTAAAAAGGTTCTTCATATTCACTATCTAATTTACAAAAATGGAACCATCCATCAAAAAACATCCATCCAACAGTGGATCTTTCATGAACCTCCAAGGAACCCTTTTTAAAGATTGTAATTGGTAGATATGAGAGTGCCACTGAGAGTTGCTTTTTAGAAACTTTCCCATGCCCCTCTCCCTTCTGCGTGGCTGTTATACTGTCACCAGTTACTCTCGGTTTGATTGTGAAACCTCTTTACATACATGGACATGCTTTTTCATTTTTTATCTGCCTTTCTCTACTGAAATAAAATGAAGACCCCTTGTTCTGTTGAAGTGGAATGCTATTTATTTTTTCTGATGTATACTACTTGTTTGTGTTTATTTTTTTTTTAATTCAAGTTGTATAAGATGCAATGCAGTGGGTCTTGGAGACAGGGAAATAGGCAGGAGACTAAACAGTAAATTCAAAAAGGAATCTAAAGACCAAAGGAGATGGTAAATGTAAAGTGAGTGGATGCACTATAACCTACAAATACCCCCCGGAAGTTTTGAAACTTGTCTAGACTCTAGAAGGCACAGATAGAAAACTGGTCACATGACACTCTTTCTTGGTAGCTTTGCCTACTAGTTTCACATTTAAAAGAGCAAATAATAGAATCTGTTCAATGCAGATAAATAGCAGGCTACTGAAAAGAGAGCTGTATGAGCCATTGTGGTTCTTGATTTGGTTGATTGCACTCATGCTGAAAACTGTATGATGTCTTTGTGAGCAAACTAAAACGGAAACCTATGTCTGCATGCATGATGAAAAAAACAGGCGTTTATAACTATGAGTAACAGCTGAAATCTTAAAGGCATACACTGATTTGCCAGTTTGTTAGGTACATCTAGCTTGTACCTACACTGACTGGCCATTTTATTAGAAACACCTAATAAATAGGTAAACTTTGTAGGTACATAATTTTGATTTATGACCATAATTATTGACTTTGACCAGCTGTAACAATTTATTAGCCACCCTCTGCCCTGCCAAAAACATCCAGCCAGCAGTGGCCCTGAGATCAGAAACTGACCACTGATGAGCTACAGGATGGAAAAAGATGTACTTGATGTACCAACAATGTAGGTTTGTCTAGTAAATCAAAAGAACCAAGTTCATCAGTGGAAAGGGACCACTACTGAATGACCGCTGACCAGATATTATTTGATTGGAGTGACATTCTCAGCATAACGGTGACATCTTGGAGGTGTACATTTAAAGACTGTTAGCTTGTCGTTTACCATACACAATGTTTGTTCATATACTTCTTAATCAGTAGTCATTTTCAGACTACAGGAACACTACTAACTAGATCTTTTTGGTTGATGGACCATTCTTAATCCAGCAGTGATGAGTTTAAAAACCTCAGCAACAAATATCTAATACACTCGTACCAGCACCACACTGCCAGTAGAGTTGGTAATTGTAAACCTTCACCGTGCACCTATAGTGTACATACAAGGTATTTGTAGCAAATAAAGTGGAAATTCAGTATTTCTGAAGAACAATTTAGCCATTACTATCCAAACCAATCAGTAAACCTATATGTATCTTCTGAGTGATTATATGTAATGTTAATAATGGTATACTAGCAGAGAACTCACTTATAAGCTCACTTTGGGTATTATTTTGTCTTACAACTTAATCATGGGTGTACTTCTGAACAACAACAACAACAACAAAATGTAATCCCAAAATAACAGATGCATCGCAGCTAGCAGACAGTCCTAAATGGTATGTGGCCTAAAAGTAGGTTCCTGAAATGTGTTGCACACTTAGTGATTTATAATTTATAGATGATTTATGATTTGTTACTTTTGCACAAAGATGAAGTAAAAAAACACCCAATATTTTGTGTAATTGTCGCTTACAGAAGTGTATCTTGCCTTTGGTGTTATTTAAGTGTAAATGAATTGTGTGACGAAACGTGTATTCATAAATCAGTTTGAAAACACTTCTGTTAACAAACTAAATGGAAATCAGCACATTCACTCAGCTTGCATTTTTCAGCATGTCCTCTGCAGGCTATTTCAGTGTACTTCAGTGCAGTAATGTCTAGCACACTTGACAAAGCTCTGCTGACATCTAGTGTTGCAATACTTCAAACAAATTTGGTCTCTCTCTCAAGACTGAAAATTACTACCACGTCTCATGTATATCAGGGGATCTGTACCAGGACATTTCTTTAATCTTGACCCAAAACACCTGTGTTAATCTTTTTGAAATCTTTATCAGTCCATATTTTATATTCCAGATATTGACTCTGCATTAACATATCTATTTTAATGAACAGAAACAAGACCATATCTCTAACAACTTAGCTCTTTTGGATTGAAACTGGTTTTATATTTAATATTTTATTCCTTTTTTGTTTTCTCCTGAGGCCTATTGATGACATTCGTGTGAGTTTACGTATGTAAGAAAACGGTTATAATTTATATGACCATTTTCCAATCTTTCTTTATTCCTTAGAATCAAACAGGTTGCTTTTGTTGCGGTGCCTGTATGTAAATAACTGTTTTTCTAATTGGCCGTTTTGTATTGCGCCTCATTCAAAAAGCATTCTGATGTAATATGTATAACTTCAGCCTGAATGGTCAAAATTGCTGTAGACTAAATAGATGGACGTACGTAAATGTGTTCGTTTTCGTGACATCACAAAAACAATGAATTCAAAACACTGTTTTTGCAGCCTTGTTTTCCATATATGAACTGTATGGAATTTGGAGTGTTATATGCTGAGATTGTAACATCCTTTACCAAG